AATAGTCTGTGGTTTTTAAAGTACTGCCATTTTACATGAAATAAATATGTGATAAAGAATGTTTACAAAATTATTAAATGAGATTTGTTAAGTTTCAGAACCAAATTACAATAGCAATTACAAATTATTAAGCATCTACTATCTTTCAGGTAATGAACGGGCCACATGCTTTATAAACATGTATTTAATTCTCACAAAAATCCTGAAAGGATTCAGGCTGATTTTACAACAGAAGAAAATGAAATTCATGAAGATCAAGGTAATTTGCCCAAGATCCCACAGCTTTTGAGCACTGAAACCCAGTCTGAACTCTAGACCTTGTGCTCTTAACAATCATGGTATACTACTAGGTATTTAGTTAAAAATCTCAAAATCATTTCTAAACATAAAATTAATAGGCAATGTAGTTAGTATCAGTCTGCTAGATCCATATTGCTAAAAGTATTACAAGCTCATGTACTCTTGTAATACCTACTCAGGATCCAACTACTGCTCATACTATCATCTTTAGGATTTTAAACTGCTGGTGCTCAGGTCCACCTTCACTTACCTGGGGGGCGAGAAGAGCTGCCTTTATAAGCAAGCCATTCAATAATATTTATTGATTGCTTACCATGGGCCATAACTGGGCCAGGTGCTGGGAATAAAATAAATAAAACAAATGATCCCTTCCCTCATAGAGCTTATAGTCCAGTAGGGGAAAGAGTAAATAAGAGAGCAGGCTGATATATGTAGGCAGACAAAAGGATGTACCTTCTGTTAAAAGGTCAGGAAAGGCCTTTCTTAGAAAATAACTTGAAGGCTAAGCTGGATTTGGAATATATATGTTGGGAGGAGAAAGGGGCTGGAGAGCATTTCAGGCAAGGAAGTTGTGTAAAGACTTGCAGCAGGAATCAAATACTACAAAAAGTCTAAACATGAATTTGATCCGGCCCTCTTTAATATCTACATCTCCCATAAATCTTCTGAGAAGAAAGTGGCTAGGGGAACAAAAGTGGCTTCAGAAACACCTAGACATTAGCCATTCCCCTGTAAGTTAGTAAGAACAGCATCTGAGGAAGTTGGATCTAGAAGTCTAGTCTATTAAACGCTATCTGGGAAAGTGGACTGCAGACTGTCTGGCACACGACAGCAGCCAAGACGCATGCCAAATATATAATCTGAAAAGCTTAGGATTCTTTAAAAAATGCTTATGATTGAAATGCATAGCATTCTATGGGGGGAATTTAAAACTCAGTTATTTAGGTGAACCTTAGCCTTCAAACATAACAAAATATAGATATTGAGGAGTTCAAAATTTCATGTTAAGAATGAAAAGTAGGCCAGGTGTGGTGGCTCACGCCTGTAATCCCAGCACTTTGGGAGGCTGAGGTGGGTGGATCACGAGGTCAGGTGTTCAAGATCAGCCTGGCCAACATGGTGAAACCCCGTCTCTACTAAAAATATAAAAACTAGCCAGGCATGGTGGCGGGCATCTGTAATCCAACCTACTTGGGAAGCTGAGGCAGGAGAATCGTTTAAACCCAGGAGGCAGAAGTTGCAGTGAGCTGACATTGCATCACTGCACTCCAGCCTAGGCGACAGAGCGAGACTCTGTCTCAAAAACAACAACAAAAAAGAATGAAAACTTGAGCCAGGTCTGATGGCTGGTACCTGTAACACCAGCTACTTGGGAGGCTGAGGTGAAAGGATTGCTTCAGGTCAAGAGTTTGAGACCAGCCTGGGCAACATAGCAAAACCTAATCTCTCTCTCTTTTTTTTTTTTGGAGATAGAGTCTCACTCAGTTACCCAGACTGGAGTGCAGTGGCATGATCATGGCTCACTGCAGCCTCGACATCCTGGGCTCAAGCAATCCTCCCACCTCAGCCTCCCAGGTAGCTGGGACTACAGGCTCACATGCCACCATGCCCAGCTAATTTTTAAAAAATTGTTTGTAGAGATGAAGTTTCACTATGTTACCCAGGCTGGTCTCAAACTCCTGAGCTCAAGCCATCCATCTGCCTCGGCTTCCCAAAGTGCTAGGATTACAGGCCTGAGCCATTGTGCCCCATCTCTTTAAAAAAAGAAAGAAAGAAAGAGGCCAAGTGCAGTGGCTCACACTTGTAATCCCAGCACTTTGGGAGGCTGAGGCAGGCAGATTGCTTGAGCTCAGGAGTTCGACACCAGCCTGGGCAACATAGTGAAACCTGTCTCTACAAAAAATACAAAAAGTTAGCCGGGCATGGTGGTGCGTGCCTATAGTCCCAGCTACTCGGGAGGCTGAGGTGGGAGGATTGCTCGAGCCTGGGAAGTGGAGGTTACAGTGAGCCAAGATTGAGCTACTGCACTCCAGCCTCAGCAACAGAATAAGACCCTTTGAGAAAGAAAGAGAGAGAGAGATAGAGAGAAAGAGAAAGAGAAAGAAAGAAAGAAAGAAAGAGAGAGAGAGAAAAAAGGGGGAGGGCTGGGTGTGGTGGCTCACGCCTGTAATCCTAGCACTTTGGGAGGCTGAGGCGGGCAGATCACGAGGTCCAGGAGTTCGAAACCAGCCTGACCAACATGGTGAAACCCTGCCTCTACTAAAAACACAAAAATTATCCAGGCATGGTGGCGGGTGCTTGTAATCCCAGCTACTCGGGAGGCTGAGGCAGGAGAATGGCTTGAATCCAGGAGGTGGAGGTTGCGGTGAGCTGAGATCACACCATTGCACTCCAGCCTGGGCAACAAGAGTGAAACTCCATCTTAAAAAAAAAAGAAAGAAAGGAAAGAAAGGAAGAAAGAAAGAAAGAGAAAGAAAAAGAAAGATCCTCTTAAAACATGAATGTAATCTAATTATGACATTATCTTGTTTATTTCAACAACTCCCCACTGTTTTGGGCATAGAATTCAAACTCTTTCATCTGATATCTGGCTTTTCTCCAGTCCTATCAGCCTCCCTGCCTCCAATACTCACATTCCAACTCTAGAAAGTTACTAGTATCATACATTTTCAAAGAGGATAAAGAATCCAGCTTAAAGGAACTTCCACTGGCCAAACTGACAATTTAAATATGAAAATATTTTTCAATGGATGGTAGGTAATAGTTACAGTTAATTTAAAATAGAGTTATGTTGTAAATATTGTTAACAATAGAGTATTATACATTTCAAAATTGCTAAGAGTAAATTTCAAATGTTCTCACCGTGAAAAATCTTAGTATTTGAGAGACGGATATGTTAACCTGTTTGATTTAATTACTCCACATTTTATGTATAAATTATAACATCACTTTGTATCTCATAAATTTTAGAATTATAAATTATTGATATATAATAAAAGAAAGGGAAGTGTGAAAATCTGTGCATTTATAATACTTAAGAGATAACTATATATAAAGTATATTAAAAGTTCTATCAATGCCTATGAAAAGGAAGAACATTTAAAGAAAAATTCTAATGACAAGAAGTATAATAAGTTGATTTTTAAAAATGATTTTTATATATAGAGTACAGATAAAGGAAACAAAAATTTCATTATAAAACATATATCTGTTTATAAAATCTGGATATATATTTGTTTCTACCTGTGGAGGCAGAAAAGAACGAATATAGGGAATTGTAAGTAAACCAGACCTTTCAAAAGCAGAAACTATATAAAGAACAGAAAGACTGATCAGCATGAGTACCATTACATAATGATAATGTAGAAAAAATATTCCACAATTAATCTGCACAAGTGATCATCCGAACCACAAAAAGCAACTAGAAACAAGTTTCAATGCTATACTGGAAAATTATGATTTAACCAAATGTCCTAAAAAGGAGAGCTAAAAATATTAATTAGTCTATTCAAATCCTAAGTATGAAGGCTCTAAATGGCTCTATTAATAATAGTAAGATATTAATACGCTATACATAGTCTAATAATTATAACAGAATATGCCAGTATGTAATAATGACAAGATTATGGGTTACATAATGCTGGCAAAGCAAAACCTAAAGAATACATCATCCAGAGGAAAACTTCAAGGGAAAAAACACATCATTCAGGAAAAACTAAAACCCATGAAAGGACTACTAGAATCCTAGGAAAATAAGTATCAAAATAAGAATGTTATAATCCTAGGAAGATAAGCATGATTAACAACTATCACATTTATTGGTCATTTAGGGTGACTGAAGCATTCAAAAGTACCAGCCATACTAAATTTGTGATAGTAATTCCTTTTTTTTCCAAGATGAAATCTTGCTCTGTCGCCTAGGCTGGAGTACAGTTGGCACAATCTTGGCTCACTCCAACTTCTGCCTACTGGTTTCAAGCAATTCTCCTGCCTCAGCCTGCCAAGTGGCTGGGATTACACGTGCGTGCCACCATGCCTGGCTAATTTTTGTATTTTTAGTAGAGAAGGGGTTTCACCATGTTGGCCAGGCTGGTCTCAAACTCCTGACCTCATGATCTGCCTGCCTCGGCCTCCCAAAGTCCTGAGATTACAGGTGTGAGCCACTGAGCCCAGCCATAACTTTAATTCTTTAAAGGTATCTAATTAAGTCTGTAATTGAGGTTTATTTATTTATTTAACTTTATTTTATTTTTTTAGATGCCGCTATCACACCTGGCTAATCTGTATTTTTAGTAGAGTCAGGGTTTCAGCATGTTGGCCAGGCTGGTCTCGAACTTTTGATCTCAGGTAATCTGCCTGTCTTGGCCTCCCAAAGTGCTGGGATCACAGGCGTGAGCCACCGAGCGGGGTCTATTTTTAAAAGTTAATTTTAAATTGGATTTTTTTGTTTGTTTCTTAAATATACGCATTCAATTATTTGAGCCTCAAATACAATGCAAATAGTTCTGAATGCTCCTCTCTGCATATGAAAGGACATTAAAGAATCTAATCAATTGGTATAAGAATTTTCCACTCAGGGACTGTATCTTATTTGACTTTATATTACCAACTCCTATCACAAATGTTTTTTCAGGGAAAACATGAGTGACAATAATAATTATGAAAACCCAACAAACAAAACAAACTCCAGTCTTCCTTACCTGCTTTTTTCTTCCCCTTTTGACCGGGAACAGGTTCTGCGCTATCTTGGCCTTTTCTCATCAACATAGCAAGTGATGCATCGTAAGCTCTAAATAGGTCCACAACCTCATGTAAGGCAACATCTGTTATCAGATCACAGCTCAGGACCAGCACATCTGTCTGTTAAACGGAGAAGGGAAAAGTCAGTATCATAAAGGACAATGGATTATACAAATCATCATAGGACAAAATTATGATGGCTTAAAAACACACAAATCAGAAAATACTCTTCGAACATTTTTCATAGCAAAACAAGTAAAATAAATAGGGTTGTTCTAATTGATTATGCTGCTGGTATAGGGTCTGGAATCTCTACCTCTCCCTTGTGTACCTCAGGAACTGTATGGGCTGTCCCTGAGACACCTCTGGAACCCTAGGTTCTAAGAAACAGTCTGAAAACCACCACATTGTCTACTTCTATGACTATGGAATATATGATCTTATATTTATACATCTTTTTGTAGTTTAAAAAAGCACTTTCACATAGTTTGATGATTTAATATGGTAAAGAACCACTTTACTACTATGGTACTAGGAAATAACAGGATGAACATAATACAATGCCTCATTCTTAGGGAACGTAACGTTCTACAGTAAATAATTACAATATAACCTCAGGTATGTACAAGGTTCCCATTCAATCTTACAAGAATACCGTAAGAATGACAGAATGGCATTGTTATTATTAACATTATTAGCCTCTATTTTTTTTCTATTTTTGTTTATTTTTTATTTTTTCGTTAGCCTCTATTTTTATAGATGAGAAAAGTAAGGCCTATTACCAGGGTCTGACACATAGTAGGCATTTAATAATTGTTTAACAAATTAATGAATAAATCAATGAAGAAAAGGTTTTCTTATATTGGTTGGCTTTCTGATCATAATTTTTTTTTTTCAGACAGGGTCTTACTCTGTCACCCAGGCTGGAATGCAATGGTGCGATCACAGCTTACTGCAGCCTCGATCCTCCAGGTTCAAGTGATTCTCCTGCCTCAGCCTCCCAAGTAATATAAGTGTCACCACACCTGGCTAATTTTTACATTTTTTTTGTAGAGATGGGGTCTCCCTATGTTGCCCAGGCTAGTCTTGAACTCCTGGGCTCAAGTGATCCACCCATCTCGGCCTCCATATATACATATACATATATATACGTATATATACGTACATATATACATATATATACATATACATACACATATGTATATGTATACATATACATACATACATATATATATATATGTATATATATATACACTTTTTTTTTTTTTTTGAGACATGGTCTTACTCTGTCACCCAGACTGGAATGTAGTGGCATGATCATGGCTTACTGTGGCCTCAACTTCCTGGGCTCAAGTAATCCTTTCATCTCAACCTCCCTAGTATCCTGGACTACAGGCATACACTACCACACCAGGCTAATTTTTATTTCTATTTTTAGTAGAGACATGGTCTTTCTATGTTTCCCAGGCTGGACTTGAACTCCTGGGCTCAAGCAATCTGTCTGCTTTGGCCTCCAAAAGTGCTAGGATTACAGGCATGAGCCACCACACCTAGCCCAGAGCTGTTATAATTAGTATTTTACCAACGAAGAAACAGGTTATAGTAGTTTATGTAAATAAAATTTAACAATTACTATGGCTATTTGTGTAACTAATGAATCTGTATTACTGAATAGTATTAAAGAAATATAGTTTAGACTGGGTGCAGTGGCTCACGCCTGTATCCTAGCATTTTGGGAGGCCGAGGCAGGCAGATTGCCTGAGCTCAGGAGTTTGAGACCAGCCTGGGCAATACAGTGAAACCCCATTTCTACTAAAATACAAAAATTAGCCAGGCATGGTGGCACATGCTTATAGTCTCAGCTACCCAGGAGACTGAGGTGGGAGAACTGCTTAGACCCAGGAGCGGAGATTGCAGTAAGCTAAGATTGTGCTACTGCACTCCAGCCTCGGAGACAGAGCAAGACTCTGTCTCCCCCATCAAAAAAAAACAAAAACAAACAAACAAAAAAAACGGAGAAATAAAGAAATATAGTTTAGGGCTGGGCACAGCAGCACATGCCTATAATCCCAGAGGTGCCTCAGGTAAAGGCAGGTTCTGATTTCCCCTTAGTGAATCAACCAGGGTAGCTCTTCTTTTACTAATTTTATTTTCTAGATTCTGGATAAGCTTTGTCTTGGAAAACCAATTCTGCTACTTTAAAAAAGTCTAGGCTGGGCATAGTGGCTCACACCTATTATCCTAGTGCTTGAAGATTGCATGAGCCCAGGAGTTCAAGATTACAGTGAGCTATGATCACATCAATGCACTCCTGCCTGGGTGACAATGCAAGATGCTATCTCAAAAAAAAAAAAAAAGACCTGGCACAGTGGCTTGCACCTGTAAACCAAGCCACTACGGAGACTGAGGAAGAAGCATCACTTGAGGTCAGGTGTTTGAGGCCAGCCAGAGGAACTTAGCAAGACCGCATCTCTAAAAATATATAAAACATTTTTTTAAATTAGCAAATAATTTTATTTTTGAGATGGAGTTTCGCTCTTGTTGCCCAGGCTGGAGTACAATGGTGCAATCTTGGCTCACTGCAACCTCCACCTCCCGGGTTCAAGTGATTCTCCTGTCTCAGCCTCCTGAGTAGCTGGGATTACAGGCATGTGCCATCATACCTGGCTAATTTTGTATTTTTAGTAGAGATGGGGTTTCTCCATGTTGGTCAGGCTGGTCTTGAACTCCCAACCTCAAGTGATCTGCCTGCTTCAATCTCCCAAAGTACTGAGATTATAGGCGTGAGTCACTGTGCCCGGCAAATCAGCAAATAAAATTTTTAAAAAGTTAGCCAGGTGGCATACACTTTATAGTCCCAGCTACTTGGGAGGCTGAGGCAAGAGGATTGCTTAAACCTCAGAGGAGTTCAAGACTCTAGTAAGCTATGACCACTCCACTGGATTCCAGCCTGGGTAACAGAGTAAGACCCTGTCTCAAATAAATAAATAGTCTGAAAAACACTGGACCAAATTATTTTGGGTTCAAGAATAAAGTGAATTATCTACATGTGTTTTTTTGTAAGTAGTTCAAACTTTCCTAATATTTTAATTTAAAATCATGATTCCTGGTTTGGGTGGGAAAATGGATGATTTCAACTCATATTCTACTAAATCAAAGAGTATTATTTGCTCAGAAAGTGAGACTCAGCCATCAGAATGCCTTATGTTACTGCTTGAAATTTCTTATTATGAATATAGAATCTGCACCAGAATTACCATTTCTTTTTCCACATGTAACTTGTTATTTATAGCCTAAACAATTTCTTTTGAAGGCCTTTTAAAGTTAAGAAGCTCAAATTCTGATTATTTCCTACTCTTCTGTTTAAGGCTCTCTGAATTCTTTTTAGATCTTAACTCTGAAACTAAAAAAAAAAAAACAGTGAGCTATGCCTAAACATCTCTTTAGGAAAAAAAAATCCTGCATCTGCAACTCAACGCATCCAGAAAGCAGCAAACATTGAACAAATCAGACCACATAAATACAAACTGAAGAAGAAACAGCCTGCAGAATCCTACTTATAACAATGCTTAGAAAGACAGGGGAATAATTCATTACTAAAAACATCCACAGAGTTGTCATTACAATAGTACAGAAGTTGCCCCATTTCATCATAATGAAAATGACAATTTGCTGAGGAAAAAAATCTCCTTTCTGTTTTTCTCAGTTTCTCTAATAAGATGACTGGGTTTTTTTGCAACTTAACTGATATACAATAAATTGAACCATTAAGTGTACTCCAAAATGAAGAAAATAACTCCAATGCAAATGCCTCAGAAGTGGTAACAATGTTGTCTTGGCAAATAAAAGCTGTTATCATTCAATATCTGCAAAAGTGTTTACATCTGTCAGTACAATGAATGCCAAACAATTCCTGCATAATTGTGAACAGGCTGTAGGCTCATTTCTCTCTTTGCATTTTGATGACTTTTTGCTAAACTGAATGCAAAATCCCCAAGGATCACAAGGAACAGACCCCTCCACTCAATGTCTGGTTACCATCTGTTCTCAGTGTGAAAAGAAAGGCACGGGTCTGAAAGAACAGGGCCCAGCATACAGATAGAGGTGCTGTTCCATCAGCCCCTCTCCTGCCTCTGTTCCCGTGTAAGAGTCACTGACGCCAAACACATCTCGTCCTCTTTGCAACTCTACCACTTTCAAAGGAAAGTGTTTGTTGTCTGATCAGTTTCCAAAGCTGGGAATCTCAGAAGAAACAAAGGAAAGCTAAATCATATCTATGCCTTCATAACACTATTTTTTTTTTTTGAGACAGGGTCTTAGTCTGTTGCCCAGACTGGAGTACAGAGGTGTGATCATAGCTCATTGTAACCTTAAATTCTTGGGCTCAAGCATTCTATCACCTCAGCTTCCTACGTAGCTGCGGCTACAGGCACTGCATGCCACTATGACTACTAATTTTAATTTTTTTTTTCTTTTTATAAAGACAGGTCTCACTATGTTGCCAGAGCTGGTCTTGAACTCTTGGGGTCAAGAGATCCTCCTGTCTCAGCCTCCCAAGGTGGTGGAATTACAAGCATGAGCCTCTGCACCTGGCCTGTTTTTTTATAAAAGCTGTAATAGAAAGAAATGACCATTGTTTTGATTTTTACTCTAAAATGTAAAGCCCATTCTAGGAATGCAAATGGCTTTCTAGTAACTGGAGCCCAGAGAGAGAAAGTAGAAAAACTGCTAAACTGTTAAGACCCAGATAAGTATTTTTGATCATGTGTGACCACATGCCATGAATAAACATGGACTGTTTGGACTGAAGCAACTGTGTATCAGAAATGCAGTTAATCTGAAAGTTCCCTGAATATGCCAACACTCAGCTGCCTTGTGTTTCATGGGCCCAGTTCTTTTCTAATACTAACAGTATGCCTCTTTTGCAGAGACCAACTGGCCTCTCCGAAGACCTCCTTACTCACTATTCCAATAGTCCTTGGTATGCCTCATCCCTGGCCTGCTCTTCTAGAGAAGCCAGGGCAATGTCAAGGGCAGAAAGCACAACTTAGAAAGAAAGCAGATGTGTGCACTGTTGACAATATTGACACATGCAAGGTTTCCAAGGGAAGGCAGCACTT